GTCATCACACTACGTGGAGTACAGCCCAGACTTATATCCGACCCAATGACAGCTTAGCAGTTGTTTGATTGACTTATAAAGTACTCAGGTTCCGTGCGAGTTGTTGGTTTACGCCACAACCCCGAGCCATTCTTTCCCGATATACTGAGGTATGTATATGCTTAACTTCGAGACAATGCAGAAATACGATTATTCTTATAGGACGTTTTGCAAATTACAGATAAAAATTCCATCAAATGCCGTTTCTGTTAGGGGTCAGGGTTAGGGGCTAGGGGTTGGGACTAGGAATCAGGGTTAGGGGTTTGGGGTAGGGGTTAGGCTGGGGCCTGTCTACTTCAGGCCCGACCACAAAATAGGATCCAACCCGAATTCCGCTTGTCATACAGCATAGAGAATGTTAGCATTGGTAATAAAACTCTTAACGGAGGGTACAGCTCTTTGCTAGACTATTTGGTAGGACCAGTTTATGTGGCCTCCTAAACGGGACATGACAGCCTACAATACGGGTGGCCTTGAGCAAACTTGCAGTAAAATATGGGTTCGGTTTGAGGCAAGCTTTACGGTTAAGTTAAGGATTGTGTTTACAGCAAGATTTAAAGCTAACGTTAAGGTAAGTCAGCATCAACTCTAAGGTTAAGTTCAGGGCTACTGTCAATGGCAGAGTTAAGGTTTAGGGTAGGGCTAGGCTAAAAATTGGAGGAACGGTTTGGTTTCATATATAGGCTAATTTTGGAGTTAAGATACGGAAACATTTTGCACTTTCTGGAACTATGCGCAGATCCACCTTATTTACTTGAACGGGACGTCTATATTCCCATGTTCTGCTTAGAGGGGCCCCAAATATCAGTCCTACGGATTGTTTTTCGCTGACGTTCACTCTGCAAAGTGCCACGTGGGAGGTGCGTTGAACCAAAGAGGAGTCAGTTTTTTGTCTGATGATGGATTCGAGTAGGAATCCGAAACGTCAGCTAATAAAGCTCTTGTCCCGGCGATCGTGTCTCCTTCTTCAAGTCAGTTTAGGTTACGGCACGTTATTGGTCTGCGCACCCATTGCCTACCGTCTCACAGGAGACCTCACAGTAAGTAGCCACCAGGTCAGATGAATATTGCTTATGGATCATCTGAAGATGCTCTTCCAGAAAACGTGGCGTCAAGGAAAAGTTCCGCAGGATTTCATAGACGTCAAAATCGCGAATCTATACAAGCGAAAAGGAAGTCGCCAGCTCTGCGACAATCATCGAGGCATCTCCATCCTCAACATAACTGGAATCGTCTTCGCTCGAACCGTCCTCAATCGTCTCAGTAGCTATATAGAACAAAAACTCCTACCGGAAAGCGCGTGCGGATTCTGCCGTCATCGTGGGACCACGGGCGTAGTTTTTGTCGACCACCAACGTAAGAGAAAAACTAAGAGATGCGGACCCACCTGTACTCTTCTTTCGTGGATTTGACGAAAGCCTTCAACACGATGAATAATGAAGGACTGTGGAAAATCATGCAGAAATTCGGCCGTCCCGAGCGATTAACTCGGATGGTGCGTCAGCTCCACGATGGCATGGTGGCGCGCGTCACGGACAATGGAGCTGTCACAGAGGCATTCGCAATGGTCAATAGAAGGAAGCAAGGCTGCGTCCTCGTGCCTACCCTCTTCAGTCTCATTTTCTCTGCTATGCTGATGGACGCCTACCGTGACGAACTCTCGGGATCCGCATCGCCTACAGGACGGTTGGTCTACTGCTCAACCACCGGAGGATACACTTTCAATCGCGTGTTTCCACAACCACCGTCCACGGACTTCTGTCGACCGATGACTGCTTCCTGAAAACCACCTCAGAAGGGCAATTGCCGAGGGGTATGGAGCTCTTCTCCGCCACCTGCGAGAACTTCGGGCTAATTATCAACACTGAGTAGACGGCGGTCATTCACCAACCGCCACCCAAAACGGCCCACAATGCGCCGCAAATCATCATGAACAGAACCCAACGGCAGGTGGTGCACAATTTCGCGTATCTGGGCTGTACCCCCTCCCGCAGCAACAAGATCTACGACAACGTGGTCCGCCGGATTTCCAAGGCTATTCAAGTCTTCGGTGGTCTTCAAAACACAGTTTGGAATCGTCAGGGTCTCCAGGTCAGCACGGAAGTGGAGAAACACAAGGCCGTCGTCCTGCCGACGTTGCTGTTTGAAGCAGAGACCTTGACGGTGCACATAAAACAGGCTCGCGGAATGAATCAACCCCACCTCAGTTGACTTTGCTGAATACTGAAGATGGTGTGACAGGACCGAATCCCCACCACTGACGTATTGGTGCGGACAGAAATCCTTAGCATCTACGCCATGCTGAGACAACTGCAACTGCGTTGGATCGAACATCTCGTGCGGATGGACGACAAGCGGCTACCAAAACGACTCTTCTAAGATTATGTCACTACGGATTCACGCCGAAGAGGAAGTCAAGTCTGGCGCTATAAGGATACTCCGCAAACCTTCCTGAAGCGTCTGCAGATCAATCCGGCAAACTGGGGAGACCTCGCCCGAGACCGACCTACGTGGAGAAGGACAGTGAAGACAAGAGGAGCAATCTACGAGACAAACATCGTCGTCGGCGCGAAAGTCAAACAAGAAGCAGGCAAGTCTCATCTGCGCCCACCCCACAACGCCAACTCCCAAACGCCCCCAACGTGTCCACGGTGACAGCGGACATTCCGGGCTTCAAGTGGACCTGTTGGACACTTTCGGGTCAATTGCAGCACTCGGGCTGCACCGACCGTCGGCTCTTCGTCCACCACTTCTTCACCATCTACGCCGTCAACTAACTCTGACCGCCCTCCCGAACCACCACTTCCGTTCCCATCATCCTCCTCCTCTTCTTCCCCCAATGCCTCAACGTCTGCCGCTGTGACGTCTGCAACGCACGTAGACACTACGCACAACCCTGACGCACAACAGACACCAACACCACCACCGTCGACACCAGTGGTGAGGACCTGACCTATACCTGTCGTCATTGCGACCGCACCTTCACCTCAGACAGCGGCCTGATCGGTCGCTCGCGAATCCATCGCACACAGACTGGCGAACCAGTGCCTGGAGCATCAATCTACACCCGCTGCACCTGCCTCCATTATCCACACTGCCCTCGCACATTGATGCACCGTATGGGCTTGTTCGGCCCCATGCGTGTCTACAAGAACGGAACTGACCACAGCCTTGAAACATCCAGCACATCCATCATGCCTCGCCCAGCCCACACTCCCCAGACCAGCGCGCCCACCGCCACCAGCTCCGCCACACTCAGTACATCTTGCACACCCACTAAGCTCTGCCAACGCACACCCCATCGCCCAGTGCGCCTACCAACATCTCCGTCACCACCATTACCGAATCTAACATTGACACCACCGGCTTCTGATGTTCACACTGTCCCCCTACATTCACCTCATACATCGGCCTGGTCGGCCACCTGTGAATCCATCGCATAGAGACTGGCGAATCAGTGCCTTGAGCACCAACTTCAACTCGTGCCACCCTCCTAGGCCACAAGGTCTGTAAGCCTGTGCTATGCCAGTATCAGCAAACCATGGTCATCGCAGTCCGGTAGGCGCTGGCATTTCCGTGACGCCTGGTTCCCTGCTGGTAGATGCGCTTGCGGTCTTGTTAGGTACATTGGTCGTGGGCATTGTTGCTCAATCATCCTCGTCGTTCTGACCCCTGTTAGGGTATTTTTATTGGCGAAAAATCCTGATCATTTGCTGTGTGGAACAGGAGTGTGGTGGTGCGGCTCCGGTCGTGTCAGCCACCTGCGTCCTCCTCCCACCTCCTATCTTCTTGACCCTGTCTTGACACCAGGTGCAGGTGGGGGATGGGGACGGAAGTGTGCGGTAGATGCTGCACAAGTCCACTATTACTATAGACTAATTCGCGCGCAAGTCACCGTCCCTGCTCCGCCTTGCAGTGGAGCATACGGTGGACATCGTCGAACTCGACGGTCTAACTATCGTGTTTGTCGCCCTAAAGTCTGAAAACGTCTGTCAGCATACTGATCTAAAGATCTCTAAATATCTGATATGCTAGGATCTTTAAACCGAGGCCCCCGCAGCCTGGTATGCGCTGAGAATTCTCTGCGACCTGGTTACCTGCCGGTAAATGCGCTTGGGCTCCCGCTTGGCATACAATTCGTGAACATGGCTGCGCAGTCATCCTCGTCTTTCTGACCCGTTATGATGCTGTTGTTGGTTAGAATCCTGGTCAAACGTTTGTTGTGGACCAGGGGGTATGGTGATGTGCCTAAGTTCGGGCTCGGCCGTGCCATCATCCTGCCCTTCTCTCACTGCCGGCCTTGTTAATTATATCTTGACACCGGGTCTACGTGGGGAGTGGGAAAGATTGAGTGCGGTAGGTGCTGCGCAAGTCTACACTCACTATAAACTAACTCGCGCGAAATTCGCCGTGCCTGCGCCACACTGTGAACGTCGTCGGCAACGACGGTAGAACTGCCGTGCGTGTGTGCGTACGGGTCCCCAGTGAACTTAAATATGAGCGGTGTCTAATTAATAGATATTTAGAGCGCCCTAGTTGTGATCCCTTACTATAACGATTACTGTACAGTTCTCGTATACACGTCTGATAAACTGTACTTGTGTGGGCTGGTCATACAGAAACGTCAATCTAGACGGATCATTCACTTCTTTCTGTGCAGTGGTAGATTAAATATTAAACAAAAAGGCCAGCTCTGGTGTGCTTTCCGATATTAATCGGTCGTAGCCCAACTCGAAATCCCGACCACATGCACTGTGCTCCTGAATCAATTCCCAATAGTTGAAGCAAGCACGCAAAGCAGGATTTATTGGCACGAGCAATGTGCACGACCGTTCATCAGGTAC